AAAAATCAGAAAAATGCCTATAAAAGTCGAACAACCAATAAAAACGGGTGAATTTTGAATTTTTCGGCCATCATTCCTCAATAAAAACAAGCGATGATGAAACGTCGAAACGAGCAAGTAGGCAATAAAGATTTCTCCAATAACGTAGCTGAGCTGAATGCAAAATATTAAGTACTATTGATAAGAGTTGTTACGAGTATATTTTTCGCCATCCATGGTCGAATGGTGATTGAGTTGAAGATCGGCGACACGCAATAGACGGCGGGATATGGAAGTAAAAACACCGGATTCGCGATGCCCAGAAAGAGATCACAAAGAAAAGAGGTGCACTGAAAGCTAGAATTAGAGCTAGTTTTTTTAAACGGTTTCTTTTGTTTTTGTACTTGTGAGACAACGTGTGCAGTTTCTCTTTCTTTCTTCTTCTGCCTTCTTTCTCTCTGGGATCAGAAGCGCCTGTAGCTCAGTGGAGAGAGGTCGCCTGTAGCCAAGCAGCCAAGCAAAAGGGGGAAGGAAATAGGAAGAAAGAGATCTCCTCAATGAATAAAATTTCAGTTCTCAATTAAACTATGAAGTGCTTTTTATTAAGATGAAAGATTAATGGTTTCAAATAGAAAATTTGAATTCACTCACCACGATTGCCATTTGGAAGATGGTGTGCGTTTTGGCGGCTCGTTTCCGATCCAAATACAAAAGATACAAAACCACTGGGCATAGGATAACTGAGAGAACACTTGCGACATCGTAAATTCCTGATATCACGAGTTTTTGCGTAAAATCCGGGGCGAAAAACATTGAAGGATATTAGAAATAAATCAAATTTTGTTCTTTCCAAGAAGGTTTACAAGTGAGAACAGGTGAAAAGAAGTAGCTTTTGAATTTTCAAGATTTTTCTTCTTAGGCGATATACTGATTATAAAGTATGTAAGATTGAAATCGTGCTTGCAATTGTACATAAATTTCGGTGAAGTTTTAGACTGAGTTTTGATATTTTCCAAAATTGATCTTGATTCTGTCTTCGTAGGTTTTTGCTAGTCAACGCCTATTCATAATAAAATTAGAATTAATTTCTTTCCAAAAGACAGGTGAAGCATGATGCAGAACCAAAAGCATTAGTCGCTTTTCTCTGGATCACAATCTACCGTGGAATTCCAACTGACATCAATCATATGTAGGCACTGCAAAAATTTATTCCGATTGTTGAACCGTGCTCGGATTTCCCTTAGGTGCAAGTGGGTGATACACATCATTTTTCCTCGTTCTGATAGGAGTGCATTGGGCTAGCTGATATTGCTTTGTATTCATCGTGAAAGATCAAAGAATTTGGCAAGAATCTTTTAGATTGGTTAGGCTCAGGCCTGGTCTGGACCAGATAACACCAGAGTCCGGTCAGTTCTAGGCCATTGCTTGAATCGCCCTACAAATGGCACCATCCAGCCAGTTCTAGGCTTTATTCATCCAAAAGCCTCTAGACCCATCAAAGCCAAGCTTGGACTTGGCTTCTAACTAGGCACTGGTCTTGACTGGTTACAGGTTCAGGACAGAGCCAGCCAGAACCAGCTAACAAGCCTGGGATTGGTTGGGACATCTCTGAATTGAGCTTGGCATGTTCTCTGGCTTCTGGCAGGCCTAGGTACTTACTATTAGGCTGGGAAAGCAGTAAAGACAAGCCATGCCGGTAGTTAACCTACAATAAGGCTAGGTCGGGCAAGGCAAAGTCCGAAAACTAGAATGGGACCGGGTTTCTGGCAAAACCTAGCTTTCTGGTCGGCAAGACCAGTGTCAGGAAAAACCTTAGTATTAAATATTCCCTTTTTCACACTCACATCACAATCCTTGAACCCGTCCATTTTCAATGTTTTTGCAATCGAGAACTCTATCAACTTACTATTAGCAGTCGATTTTGACCAAACGATCAGTATCACCAGATCCACAACCGAATACTTCAAGATTCTCGGGTACCATAAATATTCATTTACTAAAATACTGATCGTTTGGTCAAAATCGACTTTTAATAGTGAATTGATAGAAGCCAATTGACAAGACAAAGCCTTTTCGACAAATTTTTGGTGTTCTTCTTACCGAATATCTGCGAAACTTTTGGAACGACCTTCCCTAAACTTTTACAATTACAGGGTGACACAAAAGTTCAAAGCCACCTTGTTTTTCGTCAAATTCTTCAACTTTTAAGATAACAAAAAACTATCCAACGCTGAATATTTTTATAAAACTTTGTAATTATAGCATGTTTGTGTTAGATTTAAGGCTTTGACAGCAAAAATCAAGTCTTTTAATTGGCAATATATCGCCAAAATCAACGCAAATGCCGGATCGATTGAATTTCTCTTAAAAACTATCTGGATTTTCTGAATCAGTCAAAAGGAATTCTATTTTTTTAAACTCTTTCTAAACGAATAGCAAAATGTCAGGTTGATTGAAGCTGAAATGGAAAACTTTTAGCTCTAAAAAGTTGGCGAGTCGTAATCGGAAAACAACTGTTGTTTCACTTAAGAAAATAGGTCTGTCTACTTGCATGAGAAGGTTCTGTTTTTGCGGAAAAATCCTTTCGAGACCAAAATATCGTCTAGATTTCGAATTTCTAAACCGTTTTTCAAAAATTTTCTGTTGACCTTAAAAACGAGGTGGCTTCGAACTTTTGTGTCACCCTGTACATATCCGAAAGAACATCCTAGAAATCTAAATTCGGCGATTAAAGATCCGATGAAAAATAGAGGATAAAAGGATCAAAAGTTATTCAAATAGCCAAAACTCAACCAGAGTGCAGTTTCATTTCGCTTTGTTCTCGTTTCTGGTTATATATGCTTGCAAGAAGCGGCAGCGAGACTGAAGCGTTTGATCGTCATGTTCGCAATGCGCTGTTTGACAGCGCACCGCATAGGAACTCCATAAATTTTGAGAAATTGCACCCGTCAAAAGCCCGCGTCGATACAACTCTATGATCGAGTTCCGATGAACACTCGGCTTGACCATTTCAAATAAAAACGCTATACAGTGCGTTCCAAAAGTTTAGACGGTAGCGCAAAATGGGCGTTTCCGTAAAAAATGCAACTAAATTTTTTATTATTTTTATCTACATTAATGTAAAATACCGAAAAACTTTTAAGAAAAAACTTTTAACCTGCTGGCTTTGATGAAAATAAAAAAATATCGACTTTAGCAAAAACCGGGTGTTCCAAAAGTTTAGACGGATTTATTGTAACAGAAAAAAACAGTAAAAAAAACTTAAGAAAGTGCTTTAACGTGTCTTAAAAATCAATAAAGTTGCCTCCGCGGCGAATTAACTGAAAGATTCTTTTCGGCATACTTTGGATAAGCGATTGAATCAGCATGGAGTGAATTTGACCCCATTCTCTAATAATTGCCGCTTTCAAAGAGTCGATCGTTGTGTATTGTTGTCCATTTTTGTAAACCTTTCGTACAAGATATCCCCAAATGTTCTCGATGGGGTTACAGTCAGGAGAACATGCGATCCACGGTAACACGGGGACATTTTGTTGTTGAAGGTAGCTGGTGGTCGAAGCGCTTCGATGAATGGAAGCCCCATCATGCATAAAAACAAGAATTTCCTTGATTTTGTGTTAGAAATGGAATCAGAAATTGGGATAAAACTTGTTGATACTCGATACTATCCATTCTCATTGAGGTGAAGCAAATCTCAAGCGTCCGATCTGCAGAAAAAGCTCCCCAGCACATCAGGGATCCTCCGCCAAAATTGCGCTTTGAAAAATACTTTGGTTCTTTTCGTAAATCTCTCCAGTAATGCAGATAATTGTCTGGTCCGTCAAGGCACCACTTCTTCTCATCGCTGAAGATGATCTAAAGTTTCATTTTGTTTAGATAATCAGAGTTATAAATCTCACTTTTGCCCAATCTCGATTCATTTCACGTTGAGCGAAGTCTAAACGTGCTGTTTTGTGGATATCCTTTAATTTTGGAGCTGGCATCATCTTCATTCTTTGCAGATTGGGATTTTCTTCCAAACTTTGCAGAATCGTTTGTTTTGAAACTTTGAGCCCACACTCAGCAACTAACTCCTTCGCTGTCTTTGGCGAATTCGAAGCAGCATTTGACAAACGTCGTCGATCTCTTTCAGATAACTTGGTGGATCTACCCATTTTCTTATTGGGACGTTTGTTGTTCATCCTTCCAAATGCTTTTCGAACTCCTGGCTCAGAACGATTAAGTTTCTCTGTAATTTTGTTGAAGGTCCAGCCGGCGTTACGGTAAGCCTCAATTTGTGAAACCTCGAGAGCGGAAATCTTTCCCTTCTTGCCCATTTCCTGTAAAATAGATCATTACGCAAAAGTTCAGTATAGAAAAAGAACCAAAAATATTGAAAAAAATTAATTTTTAAAGATAAAATTCCAAACCGTCTAAACTTTTGGAACACCCGGTTTTTGCTAAAGTCGATATTTTTTTATTTTCATCAAAGCCAGCAAGTTAAAAGTTTTTTCTTAAAAGTTTTTCGGTATTTTACATTAATGTAGATAAAAATAACAAAAAATTTAGTTGCATTTTTTACGGAAACGCCCATTTTGCGCTACCGTCTAAACTTTTGGAACGCACTGTATGTTGAATAAAGATATTTAAGTTAACTTTTCGAGATGGGTTGCTTTGGTTAATGGTTAATTTGATTAAAAGCCAGACCTTTTGTGTGTTGCGGTAATTCTTGGTCACCCTGTATTTATGAAAAATGTAAGATTCACCTTTATCTTGATTAAATCTGTCCTTTTCCAGTGCCACAGATGGCCAAACAATTGATACATTCTTAAAAATAGCAGTACCATTAGGATACTTTTCTCTAATTTGATTTGTGCTTGTCTAAGATCTGTAGATTAAGATTCTAAGATCTAAGATTTGTGCTAAAAAAGCGCCTACTCGATTTGTTGATAACAAAATTTAGAAAAAAGTGTTCTTGATGTTGTGCGGATACTGTAAAATTGAATTCTAGAATTTTTTATTAGAGAAGTCGGCAAGGATTAAGAATTTCCCCGAAGAGAAGCATTCGAGTAAGCTTCTTTGCTTTGTGATACATCAGGTGCGATCTGATTTCGACTCGTTTTTGTCGCCGTCTCTCCAGTAGAGTAGCGATTTGTTTCCTGTAAGTATTCAATTATAAAATCCTAGATTTACTCATAAATTTAGATACTAGCGAACTTTTTATTTAAGCTAAAAGTGGTTGTTAAGATCAGTTTCACAATATTTACGGCTTTCCTTGATTTAAATCTCCATTCTCATCAATTCTCACCTCAATTGCAAGTGCTAAAGTTTAACCTGTACTTTCTATATGTCGTAGTCAATTATGAATGAAATTTTTTGGCAAATCTTTCTAGTAGAGTAACCCTTTGAGGACAATATTATATCATCTTGTAGCGAATTAAATTCTGCGTCGATTGGTACCAAATTTGTGAGTTTAGGTTAAAAATTGCCGGCGCTACAACGTCTCATTCAAAATCGGCGGATCCCCGTAGCCGATTATGAATTTCAGATGATTATGAACTTCAGCCGATTATGAATTTCAGATGATTATGAACTTCAGCCGATTATGAATTTCAGCTGATCATGAATGAGTGGGTCTAGGAGCGTCCAACCATCAAGTATTTAGTATCATTCAATTATCATTGATAATTATGTTAAATTTTTAAAATTAGCAAGATTTAATAAAAAGAAAAAACAAATTAGAGCAAAAAAACTGTTTGTTCAAGAGAAAACTTTGAAGCCCTATAATTTTTTTTTCTTTTTATCCAATCTTTCTAATTTAAAAAATTTAACATAATTATTAATGATTCTGCGTTGAATGATACTAAATACTTAATGGTTGGACGCTCCCAGACCCAGTCATTCATAATCAGCTGAAATTCATAATCGGCTGAAGTTCAGAATCAGCTGAAATTCATAATCGGCTACGGGGATCCCGCCGATTTTGAATGAAACGTTGTAGCGCCGGCAATTTTTAACCTAAACTCACAAATTTGGTACCAATCGACGCAGAATTTAATTCGCTACAAGATGATATAATATTGTCCTCAAAGGGTTGCTCGTCTAGAAAGATTCGCCAAAAAATTTCATTCACAATCGGCTACGACATTGCATAAGTTTATTGGATTTAAAAACAAAGTTTTATTATCTATTTAGCTTTATAAAGAGATTCTTTAGACTAAGTTTATCAAAAAGAACGAACTTGCGTCCAAGAACCGCACACTTTACGTCGACCGCAACAAAGAAGACGAGCAATGGGCCTCCTGGAAAGGTTTAGTCCTTTTCTCAATTTGTTTATCAAGCCTGTAACATTTGATGAAGTAAATAATGACAATCGGCTCAATGATTGGATCGAACATCACCATGATAGTGATAATCTCAGTATCCCAGCCATCTACACCGAGCAACGCTGCGAGAAAGAAGATCGAAACGGGAAAGTAAACAGTTGCAAGCGGGACAAGTAACTGAAATTCTATCGGTGGATCTTATAGTAAGTTTAATTTCATTAACAAATCAAACAGTTCATATCAAAACGCTTGAAGTGATTCACCTGAAAGATCAATGCTTTAAAAAGCTCTTTCTGCATATTTCTCGTCTTTGTGCTTTTACCTTCCTCTTGTAAACTCTAAATAAAATAAGCCATTGTTGAAAAGTAATAGAGAAAACCTTTTTCAATGCCCAACCACAATAAACAATGAAACTTGAAGTGACGGACATAATCAAACAATAAACAAGCATTCCTATGTATGATCGAAGAATCACGTAAAGAGAGACTCCCTCAAACGCTTGGGTAATTGAACCGGTTCCAATGACATCTCTGCCAGTAAGGTTTCTGAAGATATTACCGTATTTACTCGATTATAAGACCATCTCGAATAAAAGACGGAATCTAGGAAAGAGATTGAAAAAAATAGAAGACTGTAAATAACTGTAATTTCGTATATTTGAGTGAATAACTGTAATTGTGATAAAAGAATGAAAAGTCATTGAACAAGCTTTAGTCCTGGCCGATCTGGTCTGCTCTGGGGTTGATCTGAGCCCTGGGTTCTTCGACTCAGGTTTGGCTCGTATCTTGGTCTGTTTCGAGCCTGATTTGACTCGTGTCTAGCCTATCCCGCCTGGTCCAATGGTTCTGTCTGGCTTAACCTAGCTCTAGATTTTCTTGAGCTGATCAAGCCTTGGTATGTTCTGGTCTGGTTCTGGTCTGGTCTAACCCAGGTCTGGCCTCATCAGACTCTGGTCCGACCTAGCCCAAGTCTCGGGGCCATTGTCTGGTCTAGATCAGACTGACCTAGTTCTGGTTTGACTCAAGTTTGGTCTGACTGAATGGCTTAGAATTAAAGTAGAGTTTGACACTTTTTACTTACCGTAAATACTTTAATGGTAACCCACCGCTCTCGTACAGTCGCGTAGTCGCAAAAGTTTTTTAGTATTTCATTTTTTTCAAAGGGCCCGTACTTTAAAAAAATGCGTCTTTGGTATCAAAAAATAGCTAAAATTCAGGGCTATTTTTTGATACCGAAGCGCGCATTGTAGCATAAACCAGTATCGAGAAGAACTCGTTTAAAGCTAGACTACGCAACACTCCGCACCGTCATTATGGGGCTGGGGTACTACAGTATTTACGGTAGGTTTTTATTTTTTAAATCTATTCAGAATTTTCTTACTTGTATCGATCATTGATTTTGGCAAAGACCTCATCATCTCGATTCAAAGCCACATACGAGTTAAGAGTCCAAGTACCACTAAAACCTTTTACCTTCTGAAAGTCTTTTCTCTTGGTTTTCATTCTAATCAAAACCAAGTTTATTCAAAAAAGCTAACCAGACAAAAATGTAAAGAAAAATCGCAAAAAGTGTCGTGGGAATCGGCTTCATTTTTGGGATCCAATGTGATCGAAAAAGAAAAGTACAAAGTTTTTATGTACATGTGACTTACCTACAAACGACCACATAACGATAGAAAAACTGAAAGTTGAGAAAGCAAAGCAATTGCGAGAAACCGCTGCAATAGAGAATCATCAACCAATTGATTACTCTCTCATCTCGTAAAATCCACGTATAAGAGGACAGCATGTACGTTCGACCAAAGATGTACGGTGTCTAAAAGAAGATAATGTTGAAGCATCAGTATATACAAGGCTTTTAGCCTACTTTGGTAAGAGCTGGAAGACTCGAACTTGGAGACAAAAATGGAATAGATTCCGTAGTCTAGCAGACTATTCACTAAACCATCAAAGCAGCTTTTAAACGAGCCTTATAACCTCTTAAAGGGTGACGGCTTTTTAAGAAGTTCAAAATTTAGATATCTCGTGTTTTTGAAGCGTTTTACAAACACTAAAAACGGATTCGAGAGCTCCATAGTTGGCTCTATAAGATGGACTTAGTCTTGAGCCAAAAAAACCAGCTTGACTCAATGCCTTGCCTTGTAAGCCAGGTTCTGGCCTAGTTTCTGGTCTTATTTGACCAGGTTTCATTGACCTAGTTCAAAAAGCAAAAGCCAGGGTTGAACCTGGCTTTTGCTTACAGCTCTAGCATAGCTCTAAGGCTCAGCTATGCTTACAAATGAACAGCTTTTGGATTTCTTGATTACTCACCGGTGCCACCACTACATCTAGAGTCGTGTAGGCAACATTGAACACTGAATAAACAGCCAAGAGCCATGGATATTTCCCCATATTCTTTGGAGAATAGCGAAAGATTGTTAGCAATACAATGGCATTTAATGTCACTGCCGTCAACCATTCAGCGAAATGGATAGCCCAGAGTCGAGAATACATTTCCTTTAAAGAACAATGATCTAAACAATGAAATGAACTGTCTAAGATAATCTAAACAAAGATCTGAACTGTCTAGAATAATCTAAACAATGAACTGAACTGTCTAAGATGATCTAAAAAATAACCTGAACAGTCTAAGATGATCTAAACAATGATCCGAACTATCCAAAATATCAATTTTATCTTAGTCTTAGTTAAAATGAAATTCACATATTGTGAACTTTTGTCTTATTGAATTTGATCTTTAATCTAAACTCGAATTTAAACAATTGTTGGCATTGAATGAAATAAAACAATGAATCTAACAATAGAAATGCAAATTCCTAATCCTTTTCTCAACGACATTTGTTGTCCAAGTGTTCGTAATTTTTTGACTTTGTTCAAGTTATAAATTGAAACGTTCAACACGTGCAAAACAAGGCTTAATTGCAAGGTTTAGCATATAATCAAAGTATTTATCTAGAAACAAATTTGGGGTAAACCAATTTTTCATCAAATATCAAACATCAAACTTTAAGTCAAGACTACTGTGATTGTCAAAAGATTCGAAAAGCATCAGAGTCAGAGCTCTTTGACCAAAACAGGCCAATTTTATAACGAAATAAGTTCTGTAAGGTGTAAAATTTTGCTGTAAAACTTTTTTTGTAAGTTTAAGATGTTGGTAGAATGAAAGCCAACTCTAAAAAATCATGTCCGGAAAATTTTTTCTCTTCTTTGGAGTCCGTTTGCTCGAGGATTTCCCACGAATCTATTCAAATTGTTCAGTGAAAAAGAAAATCTCTCACGGTTAACTGGATAAAACTACAACCAGCTTTATTTTGAAATTGCTTCCGTTATCGAGTTTTATTATTCAAGAATTAGTGAATCAAAATACAAGTCTACTTCAAGAGTTTATCGATTTGATCGGCTTAAACTTCAACCATCGGTTTGATCAGTTTAAACCTCAGCCAGCGGTTTGATCAGTTTAAACTTCAGCCATCGGTTTGATCAGTTTAAACTTCAGCCATCGGTTTGATCAGTTTAAACTTCAGCCATCGGTTTGATCAGTTTAAACTTCAGCCATCGGTTTGATCAGTTTAAACTTCAGCCATCGGTTTGATCGGCTTAAACTTCAACCATCGGTTTGATCAGTTTAAACTTCAGCCATCGGTTTGATCAGTTTAAACTTCAGCCATGGCCGAATCGATTGAGTAAAGAAACTATGAGAGTATCAATATTTAAGATAATTTTGCTGAAGATAGAAACATAATTTCGATTTATTCGGAATCACTTTCTTTCTCGCATCCAAATTCTGCCAGAAAACCATGCCGATCATTGAAAAAGTTTGCTTTTACAGCGACTTTTATATTAAATTTTCATTGCATCCATTGCATTCAATTCATTTGCATTTCATTCATTGCATCGAATTGATTGAAAGTGTGAAATTTTGGAAAAAATCGACGAACTGCCATTCATACTTCCGGATTTCGCTAGAATGAATGTATTTTTACTTTCCTTTTTGCAAATTGCTTTTTGTTTATCAGGTTGGCTTTGCTAGAGTTTTGTTTTAATACATTTTCATAAGAAAGTTCTAATTCTCTTAGTTAATCCCAGTTAACACCTTTTCAGTCGAGCGCCGTGATGTCAAAGCTAGTAGTTGCATTAGAATACCTCAACGATTTAACTTTCTTCGACTTTTCCGCAAAAGTAAGCTTTTGTATTAAACACTTTTATTATACGATTATATCTAAGAGTACTTTGAACAAAAAATATGAGTCGTTGGGTTAAAGTAATTTATTGGGTTGGTGAATTGAAAACTGCCGGACTTTGAACTAAAATTTATTCAACATAAAACCATGAATTCATTTCAAATAATTTCCATTATTATTGACGACTTCTGTCCGTTTTACAGGCAATTTGCGGATTCCTCTTTCGTAGTAGGATTTTGGTTTGTGTGTGAGACAAGTGTGACACTCAAAAATGGAGGACTGGAGATGTCAGCTGTCAGCCCAGTTTGAGCACTTTTTTCAAAAGAAACCCATTTTGGTGTCAATAGAAAAGTTGTAGAGAATCAAAACTTAGGGCCATGGCCAAATTTCCAAAAAGATACACTTAGTAGTTTCGCTTAAAATGCAAGTTTTGTAAAAATTCGTGAATTTGGCATTTCTTGAAAAGCAGTTTTTGAATCGTTCTGAAAATCTGGATATAAGCTTGATTTTTGATTCTCTACAACTTTTCCATTGACACCAACATGGGTTTTTTTTGAAGAAAGCGCTCAAACTCTCATATATGACAATAGCCCGCAGTTCAATTCACCAATCCAATGGTTCATTGCGATAATTTTCTAATTCATTCGCAATTCTAGTTCATTTTCAAAGGTTTTCTTGCTTTTTTTGATAAATTTAAACTTTAAAACCAACATTTGGATAAATCTTTAAGTTAACTTTGAGATTAATGATGAAATTTGCCAGTTTCAAGAAGACTGAGACCGATCCGATGCCTAGAAGTTACTTTATGACGGGTACCGGTACCAGTACCCACAGATTGCCCACTCAAATTAACAATGAGATTATTTTCAATTTGATCTTTTGAAAAGTTATTTCAGGAGTTGATTCTAGATTCTCTGAGATGTCCGATAAAAGATGAGACAAGAAGTTACTTCGAGAAAACCGTCTTTAAGCCCGATTCACCCAGAGAATTTAACCTCAAAACGAATTGGGATGAATTGTTCCGAATTTTCCCCTTAAAACTTCAAACACTTGTTCAAAAAGGTTTCGAAAAGATGGAAAAACTCTTTGGGGAAATTCTTGAACAAGTTATTGAGAAGAAAGAGAAAATTGCTGTTGGTAGAAATTTGTCAATTTTTGATGAAGGACGAGCTGCTTTAATCAAAGAATGGCCACATTTGATTAATCATCCTCCTGAAGATTTAACTCAAGCTATTGCCTGCTATAGTCTAAATCATCAACCATTCTTGGAAATGATTGAACCTGTTGAAAGATCGGCTGAGAAGAAAAGATTGGGGTTTGGTGTGAGAACTAATATCGATTTACTGCCATACACATTGTTGTTGGGCTATCAAGGACTTGATTACAATGATGATGAATTACCGGAGAATGTGGCAATAAGGTGAGTAACTTACTGACAACAGAAAGACTACTACATCTTTCTGTTGTCAGTAGGAGTGGAGTGGACAGAAAGAATCCAGGAGTGAACAGAAAGAGTCAAAAGCCGAAATTAGCTAAACAAAGCCTGGCCTACTGGCTATGTTTATCAGTAAAACTAGGTAAAACTAGGTAAAACAGTATCAGTAAAACTTCTACTAGGTTTCTCACTTGTTCTCACTTCAATCTCACTTTCAATTAGATTTTAAATGGCTTCAAATTAAACTTCAAATTCAAATTTAGCTAGGCTTTTCATTAGAACAGTTTACCAAATTAAAAAGTATTCAGAAAAGCTCTAGTTTTCATATAAAAAAACGTTAGTTTTCTCAGTTTTGTCAGTCAAACTTTGATTAACTAAAAATGAAACAAGAAACTGTAAAAAACTGAATCTTTTAAAGCTTTAAAAAGATAATACTTTGTAGCTTTGTACTTTGTACTTGTACTTTGATACTTTGTACTTTGTAGGTAATACTTTGTAGCTTTGTACCTCACGCATTCATGAATAAATCGTTTAGAGTAGGGATGTTAAACGGAACACCAAAAGGCACTTACACTCTACTCATCTCTGGCACTAAACATGTGATTGAAGGAGCACCGGGTGTAGCTCTTTATCATGACAAAAAAATAACATTAATTGGTAAGCTTTAAAACTTTTAAGCTTACAGACTTTTAGCCCTATTAGCCAAAATCTTATTGACTTGAGCTTAGTCTTATTTTAGACAGCTAAAAGATCAGACTAAGAGTGAGCTAAGAACAAGAATATCATAGCTTTTTCTTGTTCTTAGCTATTAGGTTGGTGCAGATGAAACTTCCGTTGGAACCATAAACAAAATTTATTATAAAAATCCTAATACAGAACCTCAATCCAAAAGATATTCGCCATCATTATCAATGACTCTTTGCCATCTTCCACGCAGAGAATGGATGCCCTTTTCGAAGAACTCGGGCAACTGCGACTCGAAGAAGTTGGACACCCAGATTTCAACTTCTTCGCGGTTCTTGAGTTTTTTTCCTGCTAAAGAATGCTGCATCGACCGAAACAAGTGGTAGTCGGATGGGGCCAAGTCCGGGCTATATGGCGGATGAGGCAGAACTTCCCAGTCCAAATCCTCGATTTTCTGCTGGGTGATCTTTGCGGTGTGGGGTCGAGCGTTATCGTGGAGGAATTTTGTAGTCGCCGTGTTATTGCCTTGACGACGCAATGCCTGGTCCACGCGGCTCAATTGGGCTTTGTAGAGATCCGCCGTGACTCTTTGGCCCGAATCCAGCATCTCAGAATACACGAGACCTTTACTATTCCACCAAATACAAAGCATCACCTTTTTTCCGTGGATATTCGGTTTGGGAGTCGGTTTTGGCGGTTCACCGGCGTCCAACCACTGCCGTTTTCTTGCTGTGTTGTCGTAACATATCCACTTTTCATCTGCCGTAACAATGGAGTCGAGAAAACCGGCGGTCTTTGCGCGGCGGACGAGAATTCCAGCCATCGTAGCTCGAGCCGCTTTGTTTGCGTCGCTGAGCTGATGTGGCACCCATTTTCCACACCGATTCGTCTTACCAATTGCGTGCAAATGGCGGAGAATGGTTGTATGGTCGCAGTCAAACAGCTCTGCAAGCTCCCGAGTTGTTTGGCATGGATCCGATTCGATAGCGTTCTTCAACTCATCGTTGTCGACAATTTGAGGCGAATTCCCGCGCTGAAACCAAGTCCGGCATTGACGTTCGGACAACATGTCATCGCCGAATGCTTTGCACAGAGCACGATGAGATTCCGCAGGCGTTCTGCCTTGTTTAAAATCATACAACAAGCAAACCCGCACTCGAAATTTTTCGTCAACCATTTTCTAGAAGCTAAAAATTACTTCAAATTAAGTAAAACGCATAAGTCTTAGATATCAAAAGACGCGCAAAGAGACGCTCTTTCAGATAGACAAATATCTTCAATAAAAACTTTTATTAGTTTCAAAATATAAACAAACAAGTGTGACGGAAGTTTCATCTGCACCAACCTAATACAATCCTTGTTTCCAGACAAAAAGACGAAGATTGCCTTCTTGGGCGCATTTATAAACGGCTCAAAGAAGCCGAACGTTGAGTGGGTGGTTATCGAAATTGATGGGCAGAAGATTGTGATGTTCTTTGTAAGTTATTTTAGTTATTGTAGAAGTTTAATAGACAAAAACTATTGTTATGTTTGATCTAAACAGTTTAAAATTAGAAAATTCTGCTATCTTTTAGACAAATCAAGCGATCAAAAGTGGTGAAGAACTGTTTGTGAATTATGGAGACGACTATTTGATTGATGATCCAATTGTTTGATTGTTGTTTTTGCTTTTAATTTGCTTAAGATTTGTATTTAATTTGTATTCTATCGGTTATCATTTGGCTAAAGCATAAATAGTAAATGCAAGCAACATTTTCATGATCATTGTCACCTTTTTGCAAAAAAAGCCATGATTGAAAGGAAAAGTTTGCTGGGAAAGAAGAGATAGCATCCTAAATTGGCAAGATTTGTGATCTTTGCAAAAATCGGTCTACTTTTGTCTTTTTTTTTACAATTTCTTAAGAATTGAAATGCTGGATGTTCTAAACTTTTCCTTATTCTTGGATTTACAGCTTTGCCAAACGGAGTTAAACCAAAGGTGAGTTTTACAATTAAAAACTTTTAACCGAAATTTTCTATTCAATTCGATATTAAAACTTGCATCATTGACTTGATTCCAAACGGTTTAGAGCTTTGTTGAGTAGCCTTGATGAACTTAATGATTGTAAACTACAGTCTAATAAAGAGAACAAAGAGTTTTCAGTACTTCTGCAGAGGAGCAACTCACCAGCAACTCACCTCAAGCACAGTTTAACCCATTTAACTTCTGAAATGAATTGCGATTATTTTCGAAATGAATCTAGCCCATAACTCTCAAATTCTCACCTCTACGATGTCGATTTCCCCGATGATTGATGGATTTCCGCAAAAAGTGACCTAAAAATCAAAAATATATAATGAAATGATTACTTTAAAATCTTGTTGATGATGATTGCACAAATCATCACTGCACAAATGGCATTCCTCTTCGGAAATCGCCGAATTGTATGGGCATTTGTGGGCACAACCACGACGCGTTACTAAATCGGATTTGATTTGAAAAATATTTGTTTAAACATATTGTTTACCAGCATATTAAACTAACTTGGTCCTAAAATACTGTAGCATTGTGAAGTGGATGAGTGACATTCTTTGACGAGCGCTGTCTCTCGATCACAATCCTTGCAATGGAAACAGTCCAATGAAAATGATACTAAAATAATGGAGTTGCAATAAGTTGAAGCACTAAGCCATCAAGTGATCAATCTTCAAAGTTTCAGTGCTTCCTCAATTTAGAAAAAAGCTGCAAGAAACTATTTTGATTCAACCGGAAAGAATACAAAAATTAGAATAGAAGTTTAGTTTTCTAGTTTTCTATGATTCTGTACCTTGATCATTAAGAGAAAAAATCATAGACCTAATGAAAATTCCGTGTTTTACTGATTGGAAACATTTTGATGGTTCTTTTTACAAGGTTTCTTTTTGATTAAAAGATATTATAATCCTTTTCATCCAATCAAACTTTCAAAGTTTCGAAATTCTCCGACAGTGCCACATTTGAAGATACGGAGACGTTGTGTCAAGCTGAGAACAGTCGCCTTCCGTCGATCCACAATGAACAAGAGAATCAATTCATTTACGGTATTTAGACAACTATCACCAAACTCAACCAAACTCAATCAAAACTGTCAGATTTAATTGGGGAAACGAATAAAGCCGGCTGGATTGGATTAGGGGTAATTTGTATGGAAATGCACTAATCCAGAAATTTGAGATTGAGATTTTGAAAAATTGAGAGCTGGATATTCAAAATATACTGATTTCAGGTGCTTTTCAGCAACGCCTTTTAACAACCAAAACTGACCAGCACTCTTTTGTCGCTGGGATTGAATGGTATAGCTATCCAATTCGTGTACTTCAGCTCACTCTGATCTCTCCAAATCCATTTGCTTTCATTATTCCACCCTCCACAGAAACAATTGTCACCATCACAAAGTCGTCAGCTATGCACTGAAAGCTGCTTATTCAAGTCACAAACTTGTTGTTGATTGAATTGCTATCACACTTGCTGTTGATTAAATATCAGCCTTTCTGAGAAATCACTGATCGGGCTAAAGAAATCATCGAACGCCTAGGGGTAGTTCATTGCGTTGCAAGAGCCGTTACAAGAGCCTGTTCAAGATATTTTGAAGCTAAACATTTAGGTTTTCCGGTTGTTATAACTAATTGTAGATAACCAACGCTGTAAACTAGGTTTGAAAGCGGCTTTGAGACAATACGAGCAATTGTTGTCGGTGGAAATGGTGAGCACAGTTTAACAAGCAGCCACAGGCCTTCCATGCCACTATAAAGCGAAACTTGACGGACATTACAAATGGTTTGTTTTGATTGATTAAAGCTTTTTTAAAAAAAAAAACCGCTTGGTTCCTATTTGGTTTCTATTTGGTTCCTATTTGTTTCTTGTTTGTTTCGTTCTTAGTTCTCATTTGGTTCCTATTTTGTTCCCATTTTGTTCCCATTTGGTTCTTGTTTGTTTCGCTTCTAATTCTTCTTTGGTTTTTCGTACCAGCAGTTTTATTAAGTTAAAATAGAGGTAGCTTTTTAGCGTAAAAACTACAGGGTTGTCCAGAATTACGGGACTAAAGGACTTGAGACTTGAGACTAAAGAACTTACATTAAAATGACACCATAACAGCAAAAATTTATTTTAATCAAATAATTTAACATGAAAATTTACTTGTTTTCAAAAAGATCTCTCTTTGCGGTAAGACAGACCTGAAGGGAACGCGTCCACGGTGTTGTTGTTGTTGTTGTTGTTGTTGGACAACCGAGAAGGTTGTCTAGCTCGTTTTATTTCAAAAAGAACAAACAGAGATGGAAGATTCAAAGTTTTGTTTATCATTTAACACTTGGAAAAAGAAAACTTAGAAGAAATCGTTATATAGCTTTCATTAGCATCAACAACGTCAGCTTGATTTGAAAAGAGTTTATTCCAAGTTCATTGCTCACATCGATCTCGAGATAACAATCGAAATCGTCGGCGTTTTGTATAAGCCTTTAAAAATTCCTAAAACCAACTCTTTTTCTATTTCCCAAATCATTCGAAACCAATTTTATGAAGCCCCATACAGCCAAAACAATTTTTGAGAAATCTTTTTGTAAATTCTCGATATGGTTGATACAGAAATAAAACAGATAAAGTGTTGAAGAGACCGTGTTGAGCAATGAGAAGAGTTAGAATTGGGCAGTATTCTGGAAAGTGCTTGATCGGTAAAATCTATCGAATCTAGCACTGTGTATTCTTTAGTTCGTGTTGAGCAATGAAAAGAGTTAGAATTGGGCAGTATTCTGAAAAGTGCTTGATCGATTGGATAGAGTGATCGATAAAATCTATCTAATCTAGCACTGTGTATTCTTTACTTTCATTAAATGACTTTAATGAAAGTCGATGATTTCGAATGCGACTCACTTGTATAAACAGTCGTCTTCAACATAACAATCAGAATCCCGGTTTGCCAAGGAACAATGAGGGTGATCATCGGGATGAATACCTTGATTGACAATTGAGTAGCTTGAATGAATTAGAAAGAAAAATGACAGCGAATATCGCGAGCATCTACTATATACAGGGTGCGTCAACATTACCAATAATGTCCATTCAGAACAAGTAGAATTATCTTGCGATTTTTTCTGTATATTTTGTTTCTTTATGACTTACGAGTATAAAACTAAAATTTTTTTATTTAAGGTAATCGATTTGTCGAAATGGTGAAGCCTTCGATCCACCGTCAGTCAATCATTGATCTCCATCAAAGGGGTTTCTCGGCAAGCTCAATACAGAATCGTCTGGGAACAAGTCTAGCCAACGTCTACGAAACGATTACACGGTTTAAAGCCTTTGGAACGAATAGGGATTGTTTGGGACGAGACAGAAAGCGATCTGTCATTACAGGAGGCGTCGTCAAGAAGATCGAGAAAATCCGAAGAAACCAGGAGCGAATCATACGTCGTTTGGTGCGCGAATCTGTGATTTCCGAGCCGTCGATAAAGAGAATTGTTCGAAAACACCTCAAATTGAAAGCCTTCAAGAATGACAAGTGCCAAGGCTTAACAGGAACAGCAAAAAAACGAATGGCTTGGTGTCAAGATCTTCTTCAACCATGCCCACGCCAGCAACGTCGTTCCATTGTGTTCAGTGATGAGAAGTTGTTCACTGTCGAGCAAGTGCTTAATAAGCCAAATAATCGTATTTATGCTGTTTCTAATCCACACAAGGCGATAAAACATATCTTTCACCCAGCGTCACTTATGGCTTGGGCAGCAATCACATCGGATCACCACTCGTTTTTGTGCCTTCTGGTGTGAAAATCAATCATGAAAATATCTGGATAATATATTGATTGACAATTGAGTAGCTTAGGCTATTGAGAAAGAAAAATAATAACGAATATCGCGAGCATCTACTGTATATAAAGGAACTAAGACGTCTGTTTGTCTGTGCGCACTACTCCTCCGCGCCGAGTAGGCCGTTTCAAATGATTTATAGTTAGTTTGGCTTAGAATTTCATTTAGTTGTGCAACATGTTTTTAAATTTTTTAAAAACCAAAAGTGCCGACGCGGGCCAGAGTTGAGCCCGGATCGTGTGGGCTAGCGACCGTGCGCTATCGAGTGGTTGAGTGGTTAACGCGCGCGTCTCTCAAACGAACGGAAGAGAAAGATCACAAGTTCGCCTCCTCTCGTCGCCAATTCTTTTGCTTTTTGCTGCGAAGCTTCTGGTTACCTGAATGATCAAGGCATTGACCAATTGTTTCTGCTTTTCGATCTGCTGAACTTCCAGTGAATCCATCTGAACTTTCAATGATCGAAATGACGAAAGAGCAAGGGCTAAAGAGCAAAGATTGAAAACAAAACAAGTTTAAAACCATTAACTAATCATCATCAACAGCAAAACAACTGCATATCCACCCGTATTGTACATGAAAAAGTTGAGAGTATCCGGTGGAACGGCATCGAAGTGCTCGAATTGAATGAATTGACGAAAAATTGGGTATTCCTGTGAGGTTTTCGATTATTTGAAGATAAAAACAACCAACCACTAAATAAAATTCACGAATCTCTGTCAAGTTGTGCCGTGCAGTAATGTAAAAATATTCAACAGTGACATGGAGATACGGAAAAAGTGTCAGCAGTAAATATGTGGCATAACGAAATCTAGAAAAGCAATCGTAAAAGTTGTAAGATCTATTTTTACTTCTTCGACAACTTGAGCCAATGATTTGGTGGTAGAATGAACTGTTGTCGACATAAAAACAGAGACAAAGAGGCAGCTTCGGTGTGGCCGACGAGGGCCACCCCGATGAACTAAAAATCAAGGTGATTGAGTCTAAAAGTTGGAAGATAATGTCAACTTTAAAGACACTTTTTGCAGTCATAAAGCCTTCTTTAAATACAAAATCAAACCAATATTTTTATTGGCTTGTTGAAGAAAAATTAACCAAATAAAAACTTGGGTAATTAAACCAAAATAGATCAAAAAGGACTTTCTGGCACTTGGAAAAAAAAGGCGAGTTAATCAATGTTGGTTAGTCGAAAAAACAGCTATATCTCAGCGTTCGTTTAAGATTTTTGAAATCTGACTGCGGATTCAAATTTCTCACCCCAAAAAACCCCCAGGTACCAATTTTTAGCTTGTCTGGTTGATGGAATCAGCAAAAAATAACCCGAGTCACCGGTGACCTGGATCGTCTTGAATGTGTTAAAGATTCCTGCTCGAATATGTCATTAATCTATACAGACTCCTATTATAAGTAAACGGCAATATCTCAGCGTTTGTTTAAGATTTTTAAAATCAGGCACCCAATCAGACAAACGTCAGAGTCAATCGAACTCTTCACCACAGCTTTGCTAGATTGTTTTCTATTGATTTCAATCGATGTATTAGTTCTGACCAGTTCTGCCATTGGGGAAACTCCAAAAATCGGCAACCATCCATATGAAAAACCACCAAATAAGGGAAAAATGAAGAATGGAGCACCGGCAAGTGAAGCATGATGATCACAAATTGTAGCTGCTATCTAAATGAAAAGCTGAGTGGTAGCAAGGAACAGCTTGATCGTTTACATCTTAAAACTGTCTGCTATTTTAACCCTGCAACTTGTTATGTCAATTCAGTCACCACAAATCATCGATATGATTGTTACCCAAATCCAACAATCATCCGAGTCACCTGCAAGTTAACCAATCCACTCGAGTATTCTCTCATTTCTCTCGGTGAATGAGCAATGATTGCATAGAGGCCAAAGAGGTTGATCAATGAGCCAATAACTAGAAATCATCTTATTTCAGATTGAAATCTTATTCAAAATTCAAGCTCAAATCTAGATACAGTTAGAAAAATGAAAGAAACTTGTTACCATATTTTCTCTAATAGTAGTGCACTCCAGCGAGCCGAATTGGTGACTATTTTACGATTTCCAAGCTTTGGCAGAAGCTCAACACTCTAACCTCTTACTAGATCTCATCATCAGCTACATTTTCCGACCTCAAATCGATAGGTTTTGATAAGCGGTTTTTTGGAGATTTCGAGGAATTTAGGTGACGCTCAGGGTGCACTACTATTAGAGAAAATACCGTAATAAGTTTTCCCATCAATAATTAAGTTTACTTGTGATTTGAGAAAACCGAATTTGTGTGAAACAGAAAGGAAATCTTAGGAAACAAACAAAAAAACATGTTAAGTAAGTTTCTAGTCAACAAAGTCAAGTTTTGACTCACTCGAAACGATGCGGATTCCGACAAACCAATCATCACCAACATGAAGATCGAGTTCTTCTATCATAACTATCAAAGGAAAATCGGAAAGTGAAAAATGAATTCTTTCACAGAAAACAAAAACATGCACAGAAAAAAAGATTCACAGAAAACAGGTGATATTTCTCTCCTTCGTATCCTTAGAAGTGCCTCGTATTGTACTTGGAACTGCTTAGCGATTCAATTTTTATGTTAACTTCGAATGCAAACTACAAATTTGACTTCTAGAAGACTGTTGCTTATAAACAAACTGATTTTGGGAAATTAGCGGAAAGAAAACTTGCAAACAAACCCACTTGTCTTGCTCTCAAAAAGAACAATTTCAAGGGCTCACCGAAGCTGCCGAAAAGAAAAAAAAGAGCGACGCGAGGCTTAAGCGATTCAACCAACGCGGCTGTCTTTGTCCTCAGATGTTCCTCAAATTATTCAACGTTGGACAAGTGCTGAACAAGCAGAATGACCGAATTTATGCAAGGAAGGCTAAAAAATTCCCATTTAGCGTGACATGAGCCAAGCTGATCGTTCCGGGTTACGACGCAACCCCTCCCACACTTTTTTGATGTTGGACTGAATCACTACACCGTTTTTCTTGGTCAGCTCTATCAGCATATGTTCCCAATTCCATGAAATCATGTTCGCAATGCGCTGTGTGACAGGCACCGCATAGAAACTCCACAAACTTTGAGAAATTGCACCTTTCAAAAGCTCTCGCCGATACAATCCTATGATCGAGTTCCGATGAACACTCCGCTTGACCATTTCAAATAAAAACACTATATAATCTTAGAAATTATATTATAAAACAAGAATAAACATGAGAAAAGCTAAAGATATGAAATCACAAAAGATATGAAATAACAACATATAGCGCCAAATGGTCACAGATAAAGCTGACACCCGCAGGATCATAATTATGATGCACCCTGTAGACGTGAATGCAAAAGCAAGACTATTGTAAATGCTTGACTTGACCACCATTCATTTATCAACCAGTTAACAACACTTTCTTTCGTTTTTTGACAATAGGAACTTTTTTCAAGTTCCCTTTTCTTTTTCTGGGGAACCTCGCTTGTGAAATTCATTCTTTTAGATCGTTTTGCCGCCTTTTTAAAGTAAATCTAGATCATTTTGAAGAGTAGATGCTAGTTTATTCTAAAATTATAAGTGTCTTAAAAAAAAAATAAAAGTTCCGTTTCCTTTTTCTGGGGTCCCTGTAGGATTCATTCTTGTAACATTCGCTGTGTGACAGTGCATCGCATAGAAACTCGCAAATTTGGAGGAATTGCACCTGTCAAAAAAAACCCATCAATTGAATACTAACTACAAAGCATTTTTGCCGCATTAAACAGATAAAAATTGAATGCCAGAAAAACTTTATTAGAAATTTTTTGAACAATCAAAAAACACTCAAATCAAGATCAAATCAAAATCACGTATGCATATTATTCGTTAACGGCTTCACCCTAGTCGTGGCAACGATATTCAATTCTCCTCGTTGATTCACTTTTCCAGCGATTGAACCATGGACATTTGAGTGTTCTCGGTGAAACTTGTGATAGGCTAGAATAAATCGATGATTCAAGTCGATTCAAGATTCAAAATTCATCAAGATCAACAGGATTCAAGTCGTTAAAAATCCAAGTTCAAGTTCAGAAAAGTAATGCTTTCTCTAAAACATGTCACTATTTCCAGGCTTACTTGACCACAGCTCCTTGATCTTTTTGAAGAGAAGTCTCCGCATCGTCTTTGCGCCAAAAATCAAAATCAAACAATTTACCGTGGAATGCCAACTGACATAGGCCAATAAGATGCCTGAGACTGAGAAGAAAAGTGCTTGTTTTATCAATGTTCTATTTCATCAGAACTTTTTCACTAACCAGAATATAGGTTAACGTAATCTTGAACCAAGCTCAGGAAAAAAGCAAGAAACGAAAGGCCATAAAATAGGGAAAGGGCAAAGAACTGAAAAAGGATTTTCTTCGTCTGTCAGCCTTGAGGGCGATTGAAAATCGAATATTTGTGTTCCTTTTGCCGAAAAATTTCATGCAAATTTTCATAACTTTGTAAATTACGATGCAACTTTTGTATAAAAAATCCCTTATTGAATTTTTCCTTCAGATTCTATCCGTTATTTGATTTTTTACCACCCTAGGCCATTTCCCACCTGTAATAGAAGTATTTGCACATAGCCGATTTGTGTTTGCCGAGCCTGTTTACTACGGATATTCCTACCGAGTTTGTAGGTAAAATGAAATATTCTAAGCACTGTGAAGCAAATTTCGGTTACCAGCAAAATAAGAAAGATTAGGAAGAAAATACCAACGTATCGAATGATCGACCGATTAAGTACCCAATAGAAGCTACCGGGTGTTTCTTTTATAAACGTCAGTATTTCGTCGGGAATTTGGATGTTCGAGTGATTCTGAAACTTTTCTTTATTCTTTCCAAAGTTTTGCTTACAGGTTTACCGGAATTCGAATACGCTTAGCATCGTGAAAAACCATCTGAAGAAAACCCACCAAAACATCAGAATCTCTCGGAAACAAAATGCCCCACGCAAAATAGCCAAGAATGACCGCAAGTCGATATAGACCACTTCCATACTCGTCAACAGCCTAAATCAAAAAAATAATTATAATAAAAATAAGAACCTATGCCTAATCACCACAATCGTAAAGTTTATTTTCTAACTCAATGCTTTGAGTTAAGACCATTTCCTTGTGAGTTTTCATCCTTTCATCCACTTACCTCTCTCTCTATTGCTTCTGCATCAACAAACGGCAACCCTTGCAGGGCAAAACTAAAACAAATCAGAAAAATGCCTATAAAAGTCGAGCAAGCAATGAAAACGGGTGAGTTTTGAATTTTTCGGCCATCATTCCTCAATAAGAACAAGCGATTATGGAACGTCACACCGAACAAGTAGGCAATAAAGATTTCTCCAATAACGTAGCTGAGCTGAATGCAAAATATTAAGTACTATTGATAAAAGTCGTTACGAATATATTTTTCGCCATCCATATTTCAATGGTGATTGAGTTGAAGATCGGCGACATGCAATAGACGGCGGGATATGGAAGTAAAAGTACCGGATTCGTGATACCCAAAAAGAGATCACAAAAAAAAGAGGTGCACTGAAAGCCGGAATTAGAGGTGGTTTTTTTAAAACGATTTCTTTTGTTGTGACTTGTTAGACAGCGTTTGCACTTTCACTTTCTTTCTTCTTCTGCCTTCTATGTCTCTGGGATCAGAAGCGCCTGTAGCTCAGTGGATAGAGGTCGCCTATAGCCAAGCAGAAGGTCGAGAATTCGATTCCCCATTTTCTTCGCCTAATTGTTTAAATTTTTAAAAATGAAAAAGGAAAAAGGTGAGGTGAGGCAAAGAGAGGAAAAAAAGAACAAGCAATAAGCAAGCAGCCAAGCAAAAGGGGAAGGAAATAGGAAGAAAGAGATCTCCTCCATGCATCAAATTTCAGTTCGCATTTAAACTATTCAGGGGTTTTTATTAAGCTTAAAGATTAATGTTTTTCAAATAGAAAATCTATTTCACTCACCACGATTGCCATTTGGAAGATGGTATGTGTTTTAGCGGCTCGTTTCCGATCCAAATACAAAAGATACAAAACCACTGGGCATAGGATAACTGAGAGAACACTTGCGACATTGTAAATGCCTGATATCACGAGTTTTTGCGTTGAATCCGGGGCGAAAAACATTGAATGATATTAGAAATAAATCAATTTTGTTTTTTCAGAAAGGTTTAGAAGTGAGAACAGGTGAAAAGAAATAGCTTTTCTTTTCATGTTTTTTGAACTTTAAAGGTCTTTTCTTCACGCTTAGGCGATATACTGATTACAGGGTGACCAGAAATCAATTTAATTTAGCGGTCTAATTTAGCCTATTTTTAAAAAATCCAAAAGGATTTTGTAACAGAAACAATGTTCTATTAACAACATGATATAAAGAGAGCATAAAATCTACTTTTCTTCAAAGTGTCCACCTTTGGCTCCGATGCAGAGCCTCAAACGCTTGATGAAGTTTTCGGCAATGGGCCGCAGCTCGGCCGGAGTGATTCGATCCCATTCCCTGGTCAACGATCGCTTAAGAGCCTCCAAATTTTTGTGGGGTTTTGCACAAGGCCTTGCCTCGATGAGAAGGAGCGGAGTCTTGTTGAAAATTCCAAAATCCGTCACCAAAATGCTGTTGAGCCCATGGAAGCAAAACATCCTCAAGAATCTTTTTTGGATACACATCCTCATGGATTTTTACCTCAGAATCGATGAAAATGTGAGGAGTTTTGCCGCTTGAGCAGATTTCGGCCCATACCATCACCAATTTGGGACTTTGTCGGTGTTGAATAATCGCAGAGCTGCCTGGAGGGGACGTTGACCAAATCCGATCGTTTTGGTGGTTGTAACTTTGTTCTTGATCATTGAGACCTGTGGATTCCGGGCCACGCGCTTCTAGATCACTTTGTGAGTTTTGGAGGCGTTGACTGATCTTTTTCTGCCTTTTCCTGGACGATCTCCATCATTGCCAAGCTCCTGGTATCTATATACCTTGTACGGCTTAAGCGCTTTTAAGACGTGCTGATGAGAAACACGTAGCAATCGCTCGATCGCACTCACGCATTGACCTTGACAATGAAGCTCCTTGACGATGAAGATCCCTTGTTTGTCTTCCTATAAAAAAATGAATAGACTTGAAACAAAGTAAGGCAACAAAGAAACTAAAAAAAAACAAACACAGAGAATAGGTTGTCTGCCAAAATTGAAACTTTGAGGAATTTAGGCTGCTGAAAATCCCGCAACTTTATTTCTGGTCACCCTGTATAAAGTATGTAAGCTTGAAATTGTGCTTGCAATTGTGCATAAATTTTTTGGTGAAGTTTTAGACTGAATTTTGATATTTGCCAAAATTGACCTTTATTCTTCTTTCGTGTTTTTGCTAGTCAACGCCCATTCATAATAAAATTGGAATTTCTTTCCAAAAGACAGGTGAAGCAATGCAGAACCGTTAGCCGTTAGCCGCTTTTCTCTGAATCACACTTTACCGTGGAATGCCAACTGACGTCAATCATATGTAGGCACTGCAAAAATTTATTCCGATTGTTGAACCGTGCTCGGATTTTCCTTACGTGCAAGTGGCTACACAGCATTTTTCCTCGTCCTGATAGGAGTGCATTGGGCTAGCTAGTATCGCTTTGTATTCATCGTGAAAGATGAAAGAATTTGGCAGGAATCTTTTAGATCGGTTAGGCTCAGGCCTGGTCTGGACCAGATAACACCAGAGTTCGGCCAGTTCTAGGACAGTTGCTCGGATCGTCCTGCAAATGGCACCATCCAGTTAGTTCTAGACTTTATTGATCCAAAAGCTTCTAGATCCATTAAAGCCAAGCTTGGACTTGGCTTCTAACTAGACACTGGTCTTCACTAGTTACAACTTCAGGCCAGAGCCAGCCAGAGCCAGCTACCAGCCTGGGCTTGGTTGGGGCATCTCTGACTTGAGCTCGGCATTTTCTATGGCTTCTGGTTTCTAGGTACGTACTATTAAGCCAGGAAAGCAGTAAAGACAAGCCATGCCGGTAGCTAGTCTACATAAGGCTAGGTCAACAAGGCAAAGTCCGAAAACCAGATCGGGACCTGGCTTCTGGCTAAACCTAGCTTTACTGTTCTGTTAGGCAAGACCAGTGTCAGAAAAAACCTTACAAACCTTGTTAGTATTAATTACTCCCTTTTTCACACGCACGTCACAATGCTTGAACCCGTCCATTTTCAATGTTTTTGCAAGCGAGAACTCTATCAACTTACTATGAGCAGTCGATTTTGACCAAACGATCAGTATCACCAAATCCACAATCGAATACTTCAAAATTATCGGGTACCATAAATTTTCATTTACTAAAATACCGATCTTTTGGTCAAAATCAGCTTTTAATAGTGGGTTGATAGAGTTCTTTAAAAAGCCAATTGACAAGATAAAACCTTTTCGACAAATTTTAGGTGCTCTTATTACCGAATATCTGCAAAACTTTTGAAACGACCTTTCCTGACTTAAAACTTTTACAATTACAGGGTGACACAAAAGTTCAAAGCCACGTTTTTTTGACCAATTCAGCTTTTAAGATAACAAAAAACTCTCCAACGTTGAATATTTTTATAAAAGTTTATAATTATAGCAAGTTTGTACTAAATTTAAGGCTTTGTCAACAAAAATCAAGTCTTTTGATTGGCAATATATCGCTAAAATCGACCCAAATGCCTGATCTCTTGAATTTCTCTTAAAAACCATCTGAATTTTCTGGCATTAATCGCGGCCGGGTGACCATAAAAATTTTTTTACGGCAACCACCTGTTTTTTATTTTAATATCGCTGATTTAATCATAAAAAGAATAAAAATCACCCGGCTAGAGTGATTTGATGGGTTTACAAATTTTTAGAGACGCTGCAAGGCTCGCGTAGTTCATCTACAAGGTAAGTGCGAAAGTAACGCAAAAGTCAGGCATTATGTTTTCTTTTTGTTTTCTTTAGACTTTCGATCTACATTTTTGGTTTTTAACATCTCTAGATGCCTTTTTCAAGATGGAGATTTTATTTTTAGATAATGCAAAAGATCATTAAGCTAATCTAGCTTATGGTCTTCTAAATACTCTTGTTTTTTCGAAAGCCAAGAAAACTTATGTTAGGAAACAAAAGAAAACCACAATCGAATGGAAAAAAGATCTAATTGCGTCAATCAAAGCGCTGAAGATGGGGGAGATTCAGTCATTTCTGCTGAGGATGCGCTGGAAATTGACTAAGATGGGAAGCCGATTTGAGAAACTGCTGTACTTGAGCGAAGATGAAAGTGAGCAAGAGGAAGAATTATAGATTAACAACTTATTTTTATTGTTTTTTGTCCTTTTTATTTTGTTTTTAAATTTATCTGCAATTAAAAATCGATCGATCTAGACTGTGCTGAGGTGTCTGATGAGTGACGATCTTGTTTTTTTTCCAAGCCTTGCAGCGTCTCCAAAAATTCGTAAACCCATCAAATCACTCTAGCCGGGTGATTTTTATTCTTTTTAAAATTAAATCAGCGATATTAAAATTAAAAAACAGGTGGTTGCCGTAAAAAAATTTTTATCGTTACCCGGCCGCGATTAATAGCTTCCACGTAAGAGCTTTGGCGAATGATAAAGACTATATTCTTATCCCTCCAACTTCAACTAAAGAAACAGCCTATGTAGTCGATCTCACGCTAACTAAATTCCGGATGATCACATTAAAAGCTAAAGAAATCGAGCCTAGTTTCGCATTGATATTCACTTCAGAAACGATCTCGTCAACACTTGCAGATGCAATAAAATACTGGAGAACAGTATTAGGAATTTAGTCTAATCAAAATTTGCTCTTTGGCAAAGCACTTGTTTTCACAATTTTCTTAGACATTGCATACAATCTTAGCGTTAGACTTTGAACCTTCTATGTGATTGCAGTTCTTGTTTTCGCACTCAGAAAAAACGAAAGTTTATTCATGTTAGTGATAATAAAAAGTTGTGTATCAGAAATGTTGTGTCTATAATATGTTCAAACTTGAAAAATCTATATTTTATTTACTAGGACAAAAAACGAACTAATCCAAAAGCATTGTTAAGTGCAAGACAAGATTGATGAATGAATGAGCATTCGCAAGCGTTGAAAGCACCATCGTTTACCTAGGATTGAGGAGGCTTTTGAGAAAAGTTGTCATTTACCTCAAATGAGTACAAACAATACACAAAGATAATGATTGTCCCCAAGAAACCGACAGTGGGTCGGACACCGTAGTGGGTTTCGATAAGTAGCTATTGCGTTGGTGAATTGAAAATTGTCGGCTATTTCGCGGGACTCGCAGATAAGAAAACAACAGCATTGAACCAGCTGAAAGGGGGTTTGGTTACTTCAACATTTCCTCTAATTATTGCGAAAAAATTATGCTTCCAGCTTTTTATTTTTTTGGTATTTTTCTTCACTTCTTCTATTGCACTCGACAATCTGCCACCGAGACATATTCGTCATGTCATGCTTCCTGAGTTCCTACAAGAGCACAGTGCAGGCTTGGCAGCTGCTAATATTAAAAAGATATATGGGGAGGACTCACCTTCCAAAAGAACGTGTCAAGCATGGTTTGCCAAGTTTCGATCTGGGGACAAATCTTTGAAAGGTGCAGAGGGCCGTGGACCGGCACCCCAACTGGATGATTCCAAATTACTCGAACTCATTACCAACGACCATCGGGTATCATCGCGTGAATTGGGAGAAGAGTTAGGGGTTGATCATGCTACAGTGCTAAGGCACCTTCATACCCTTGGATTTAAATCGAAACTTGGGGCTTGGGTGCCCCTATGACCTCAATCACTCCCAGAAATGGCAGCGCGCCTCGAACAGTGCCGTCCATCTCTGACAATACAAAAAGAAATCTTTTCCTTCTCTAATTGTGATAGAAGATGAGAAATGGGTTTTATCTGTGAACTTTCAGAGGAAGCGGCAATGGGTGGGGCCAGGCGAGAAACCCGAAAGTGGCCCCAAGCCCGATTTGAAGTTTATGCTCTGCGTTTTCTGGGATATGGAGAGAGTGGTGTACTGGGAGTTGCTGGATAGCAAGACGACCCTTAGTGCAATCAAATACAGTGAACAGTTGGAAAAGGAGAATGAATCCCTAAAGAAGAATAGGCCCTCCAAGTCAAAGATCGTTCTCCTTCATGACAACGCGCGCCCTCATGTTGCAAAACTGACTCGCTCTATTAGGTTGGCAACTAAATAATGGCCCTCGCCCTTTTTTGATAAAATCTTTTAATCTTTGCGTTTAATCTACCCTCGCTTGTTGTTAATTGAATATTACTGAATTTCTGGTGCATTATTATACGTTTTTTACTTTCCTTGATTTGATACTTTTCAAATAATTTTGTTTAGAAATGGAAGAGCTCAAATATCGTCTGTCTCTGGTACGACTACAAACAAGACAAAACAGCTGCCGAATCCCACAGAGATTTATTGCGAGTTTTTGGTGATGAAGCTCTTTCCGCAACACAATGTAAGAGATGGTATCGACGGTTCAAGGAAGGGGATGAAAGTCTTGAAGATGAGCCTCGCCAAGGACGACCCGAACTTCTGCAGAACGATATTTTGGAAGCAGCTTTAAAGGAGGATCCAAGTCAAACATCACGCGAGCTAGGGGATCGATTGGGCTTTTCGCATACTGCAA